ATTTCACTTTACGATCCATACGATTCGTCTTGGCAATACTTTACATGAAAATGTTTTTTATATTTTTAAAACTGAAACATAATTAAATCCAATTCACAAGAAAGCACAAATAATTGCTGTCCATAATTATTCGAAAAAGGGTTCAACAATAATAAAGTTCAAGTAAAGTGCAAATATTTTTGATTTGATTTGATTAATATCGATATTTCCCCAATCGATTCTCGCTCCCATCCCTAAAGTATACTCCAGTGCCGATGAATATTTTAGATTCATTACACAAATTAAACGGGACAGTTTGGCAGTGTAGAACTTTATAACCTTCCGTTTTGGGCCGAACCGTTTGTGCCTTAACGATACGTGTTTCACTATAATGTCGATTCTAGGAACGTTTACAATGAAAATTCTTTCATTTATTTATGAGAGTAAAAGCGTTACTGACTGGTATCCAAAGGATGGAAAAAGAAAACGGGACTATTCCCACCGTTCGCACCACTGCAACTCCTGTGTAGCCAGGATCTACAGCTTGGCCGCCACAAAAACCCAACCAATGAAGGTCAAGTCTGTCCCGGGGGAAAGTTAAACTGTCATTGGACCCGCAACGAAATTAATCAGAAGAACATAGGAGGAGTTCGAAATTAAGGTTCGACTTCCTTCCATTGCATAGCGGATGCTTAAATCGCTTAAAAGCACGGAAATTTTTCCTTGTTGCGACAGGATGGAAAAAGAAGTAGAGGACGTCAAGAAACATGATGGGAAGACGACCTAAAACTCTTGAAATGGACGCCATTGGAGAAGGGTAGCGCGCGACAGGACCCAATGGAAATCGTTAGAGGAGGCCTATGCCAAGAGGCAACTGAGCTTCGGGATTTATTGTAACATACAGAACATAGTACTATCTAGCACTTGTAGTAGTAAGTACAATACTTAAATGACGATTAGGGATTAACTATGGATTAGCAAGCTGAAGTGGCAGTGTAGTTATATCTATCGAAGAATCGATAACCGCGTATCTATAAGCGTGGTAATGACGCTTTGCAGCTAAGTGAAGTGTCAAGTGTTTGTACAGAACAACTAACTGATTTTTGTGGTGTTTAAAACCTTCTCAAAATATTTGTCAGTTCTATGTCACAAATTAGTCTCTTTTCTCAACCATTTAAAATATATTAATTCAATTGAAATAGTTCACGTTGTTACAAGAGTAAAACCTACTCTTGTAACAAAGTGAACTATTTCAAAAATGCTTTTTAAAACGGGCCTTTGCGCCTACCGAGCTTTTTCGTTCACTGTCCAGTATCGGACCTTTGTTGCCGTGAGTCCCTCGCCAATTTGGCGATGCACTGGAAAAAACTGCTCTTAACCAGTTCAGAGCAGTTCCGAACTTCAGGTGTACACACACTTGATTGCGCCAAACGAACATGTTTTATAGGAACAAAAGGAACATTTTATTCCAATGGATAACCTAATGATATGACGAATAACTTAAACCTAAACACTACACAGTTAAGTAATAGGTTACACAATGCGACCCGTAGCTTAAGAAAACAGGTAGTGGGAAAATTTAAACTTAGCAGTGTTTGTTGTATTGTAGATAGGCCCTAGATAAGTAGGTAGGTAGGCAGTTCAATAATATTTCCCGAAGTACATAATAAATCAACAGATAACTTCTGTACAATAGTAAAGTGTAGGAAATGTAGGTACTTACTGCTTAGGTACTGATGAGCTGCCTCAAGATTCTGCCATCGTTTGGTCACGCTCCCTCGTATTAGCACTTCCAGCCACTCACTCACTGCACTAATTGAGGTATCATAAACATTATGCATAAACTACGAAACGAAAAAGGTCTTTGTAAACTTTTTAAAGCAGTTTTTTCACAAAAAAATATCTCGTTGTAAGCTCGGCACTTGCGGTGTGGGTGTGCAATCACCTTTAGACGATTTAATTTTTAGAAAAAGCAATCCGAACTAACACGAAACATTTTTATCTTAAAAAACAGGTTTTTACAGTAAAAGTCTGTGTATCTAATATACTACATACCTACGCGAATATTCTACTACCTACCTACATAAAAAGAAAAACTGACAATTACTGTTTTTTTTATTAAGTGACAACCAAATTTCCTCTTTGGGAGGTTTATTTCTGCCAATTATTAAAATAAATAATTTTAAATTTTTTGGTAATCTTTCTATTCTAATATAATTTTTTTTTGGATACGAAAATAGCTGTTAAGCGTCTAGTTACTTTTAGACAAAATTGTAAATTCTGAAGTAGGTAAGTAACTTCCTAATTTACATACTTATATTTTTAGATTTCAATTTTTAATAAATAACAGTCTAACATTAATTCATCGAAAATGACTCCCATCCCCATCTCCAACACAATATAGTACGCCAACCAACATGCGCCTGATATTTCCACCTGAGCAATTTTACAGCGTTTTACAGCGAAGCTCTTTTGCGTGTAACAACGCAAGACTCGATGAGAAACGAGCTTCAATTAATTATTAAACAAACCCATTAACGATATGAGACGTTTTCGGTGAAAAACCATGAGATAATTGAAAAGAGAGCTAAAATGTTTCTTTGTACGTAACAAAGTAATTATCTTTACTATCAGTATTTTAATGGAGAAATAATGCATTTTGGGAAATGTCTATTTTGGTCGCAGGAAAATACGCAATTAAATTAATTTAAAAGTAGGATTACGAGCAGGCAACTATAGCTTTTGCCCGCGGCTTCACCCGCGTGAATTTACGTCTAAAACAATCAGGATACCTATTATGAACTACCCTATTTTCATCTGGTTCTCAAACTATTTCTATACACCATTTTATTTGAATCGGTGTAACGCTTTTTCACTGAAAAGGTAACAAAAACACAGACATACAAAATATAGTGTAGATGGATGTGGTTTCGTTGTCAATGTCACTTAGATTGAAAGGTCTTATGAGGCAAAACAAAAACACATAGGCCCAGAACAGACGGTGAAACGCAACTGCAACGAAACTGCAACTTTCTGATGATTCTGATGAATGAAACTGAAACTGAAAGTTTTAAACTGGTCGCGTCATGTGTGGTCTCTTAACGGACGCTATGGCAGAAACTTAGATGCAACTCAAAAGTAACTAGCAGTTGCAGTTTCGTTGCAGTTGCGTTTCACCGTTTGTTCTGGGCCTTAAGTACCTATGTTACCTATTTTATGCCAAGTGGTTTTGAAAAATAAATAAGTTACCATGTACAAGTTTCAACTTTTATTTAGTCACATAATTTACATTAAAATAACATACATATATGTCTATAATATATAAACAATATAATAAGGTTTACATCATTAAGGCTGACTCCATATAATTTTATATTTTAACATTTTTGATATCTTTTCAAGAGTTTGAAATGAAATATTTACAAAACATCAATAAATTTTACAAAATTTAATGCATGCTTAGCGACTATCTTATTTACAAAATTTAATTAGGGCCAATTTGTAATAGCCAGATTAGTTAATATGAAAATTGACACGCTGACATACAAAATTTGTCAACATATCAATATTATTCTAGAAATAAAATAATTTGTGTGACCGACAACACAGTAAATTATAACTTGATTTAATAAAGTAAATAGGTACATAATTGTGAGGTGACATTCTGCAAGAATAATAATTACATGTTAGCTTTACGTGCTGGCGTCGACAGAACAAGAAGTAATTAATAAAGTAAACTTTATTTTTTTTTATTACAATGGCAATTTTTCCAGGTTAAGGGACTGATGTTAATAATAAACTGAATTCAATGTTCTCGAGCGTATTTTAAATATAAAGATTTTTGAAATTTAATATGATATGTTAACTAATTTTATGATGTAAAAAGCATTTGATAATGATACATTATTACATTAATCTTATCATAAATCAGTCACAAGAAGTAAACAATCGTTCATGTCAGTTTGTATTCTATATTCCTACTGAGATCTTATGGCTAGTGGATTTTGAAATCTCTGTGAGAGTCGTCATCATCATCAGCTCATTTTGTCTCCACGGTAGGAGAACAACCCAATCAAAATCAGATACAAATGTAAGATTTATGCCCGTTTTCACCATCAATCCCTAATTTTTAAGTGACCCCTATGGTAACAAATAACAGGAATTTTGTTTTCATAGGGGTTACTTAAAAAATAGGGATTGATGGTGAAAACGGGCATCAGTCTCAGATCATCTATGATCTGAGGATTTAGTCAACACTCCCCACACTGGCCAGAAGAGTTGGGGAGGCCTGATGTTCGCATAATCAAAATAAAATTCTTGCGTAGGTACTACTAACTGACAATTTTATTATTTGTAATGGTTTAAAATAGGTACAGGAGCCTAAAACTTAGTTACTTAAGTGACATTTATTTGTATTGCGAACCACTCTTCGGAGTGTGAATTAACTCACTTTTCTGACTGTAATTGGAAAAAATTCCCAAAAACCCACAAGCTTTAAGATTTCAGTAAGCTCTTAATATTGAGAACCAAATAAGCCTTATTGATATAAACTTACTTATTATAACCAAACAATTTGATATGGAAGAGTCCTATGGTATCTTATAGTCAAGTTTTGTTGGCATTTGGAATTTACAAATAGCACAGTAGAGACGACTGCAGTAAAAACTCTATCTACTGGATGCGGGATAACGTAAAAAACGTATAAAAATGTAACCCAGGTTATTTTAGGCTGAGTTGCACCACCTAACTTTAACCGTGACTATAACGATAACTGGTGTATTTTGTATGGAGTTTGATAGTTTTTTGACGTTTGTTAAAGTCAAAGTAATGGTGCAACCCAGCCTTAGCCTTTCTCAAGGAATATTATGATTTTTATTAAAATCAGATTGGTCATAATACATTTTTAACATTGTTAGCTTTAGATAAATTAAGGAAGGTGATCGTTGGGTAAGTAGCTGTGTTTCATATAGGTTTTATAGTTAGTTTAAAATCAATAGCTTAATAAGGATAGCGTTTTTGACGTGTAAAACTTAATAATTTGATTAACTTTTCTTAACAATTTTTGCACCCAGTCGTAAGAGAACCTACTGCATAAGAGGTTGATTTATAATCATGCCATATTTACGTACGTGTTTGAACCACTTTTGGTTACGCAAGGATTGGCCGAAGTATGAAACGATGAAACATTCTTAATGTTGCTGTTGTAATAAAGATTATAAAATCCAATTTTATACAAAATTGATAATAAGAAATCGAACTAGAATATCAACATGTGTGTCTTTGAGCCAAAAAGACGCTTTTGAACAAGGTATCTTTAAATAAACTTAAAGAATAACGAAGAAAGACGGCTCTGGCTAATACAATGCAGGAATGCGGGTCAAATGTATGGTGCGTCATACTTACCACCTGTATGTACTCTTACTTTGTAAATTTTCGCGTAAATAAATATGGCATCTAAAACAATCAACCTGTACCCCTACCGTATAGTTTAGTTATATTTACAGTGGTCGTTGTGTCTCGTCCTTCTGTTATCTCTGAGGCATCTGCAATAGAACATCGTTAATTTTAATGATGGGCCCTTATAAGGGGTTGGGGTATTATTGGTTGATAAATTACCCACTACGTGTGGGGTGGTAATATCAATTAGTTGGCTTTGCTTGCAGATGTTTGAAGTAGGAAAGTGATTGTAATTAATTTTTAGTGTGTGCCTATAAATATAAACGGATGGATATTTTTATATTCATCAAAATTATTATGTTGGTAATCAAACTAGGAAATGTACAGTTAATATACACATTTTTTTTAAATTGTTAATTAATATCTTTTCAATGTTATGCGGATTTTCCACCGCGAGCGAAGCGAGTCTATTAATGACTCCGTATACCTTGCAATACAAAAATGCATACAACTGTTTCCACCAACAAAGAATCGAGCGAAAAAGACAAAGAGAGGAAAAAGAGTAAACATGAGATCGCTCATCAAACCAATACTACCGAACTCTTTCTCAGTAGAAAAGCAATCCTATTTTATGTACACGAAGACTACTCTGCTAGAAATCCCTAGTTCATTCCTCTTTGGCGGTGGAAAACGGGCTTTAGGTAAAAAGGCCTTGGTGTGACGAATTCGGTAACTATATCATCCATATAGACCTTGTTTATCGAGTTGTCCTATAAACAAGACATAAGCATTCAAAACTCATTATTCTACCTCTGTTCCACTGTGAAGCCATTAGGCAAGTGGTCAACATAGCCTAACCTAGTTGAAGTAAAGTTGGCCTTGATTTATTGTTGTCTATCACAAAGTTCGATTTGACAGTAACCTGAATTAGACTCAACTTAATTAACTTACCATTTCGTCGTCAGTCGGAGGAGAGCTATAGGAGGCGCCCTCCTTGTTCGCCTCTCTTATGGTGTAGCTTTTGTTGTCCGTCGACTCTAACACCACTCGAGGAGGCTCGTTATCTGTAGAGATTAAGTTGTAAATTCTTCTGGGTTCGTTATTAAAATGATCATCAATTTCCTTCAAGCCACAAGAGATCTCTTTGCCAAGTTCGTTCTATTGCTACAATTTGATAAAAATGCTGAACAAAGGCCTTCTCCCAGTATCGCTATAATGACCGATTCCCCATTTAGGTAAATACTTATTTTCACAAGAGGAAGGTTTGTCTACATTATGACGTCTTCTAATCCGTGGTCGCCACATGAAAACTTATGTAAAAAATCCCTAATAGCTATGATTTTTGATTTGTTTCATTCCTCATGTCAGCAATACTCACCAGACTTAGGGTTGAGGATATCAGGTTTGGTTTCCAGCTTGTCCGCGGGCGCGGGGTATGCTATGAGGTACCTCCGGCCCTGTGCGTCCACTTGCACCACGCTCTGCGACGGCCTCTTGCTTGTTGTTGTCGTGTCGTTGCGCCTGCGCAAATGAAGATTATCTTGAAATACCTATTAAGGCTGAGTTGCATCAAATTACTTTAACCGTAACTTTGACGATAACCGGTGCTTTTTGTATGGAGTTTTGGACAGGTTTTTGACTTTTGTAAAAATCAAAGTAAGATGGCGCAACTGAGACTTAGTTTGTCAAATCTCTAAACACTGTCTGAGTGTTGGCGACATCAAACCTTTTTATATGTATTTTTTACTTTTTATACTTTTTTCTATTTCTATTGTTTTTGATACGTCTTGTTGACTTTAGATATAAAAAAATGAATGAATACACAGTTTTGTTATGTCGGAAAGTTTCGTGTTTGCTTTAAAGTAGCTACTTATTCCTATACACACACACGAAGCTCACATTTAGGTTTTACAGTTTACAGTGAAATCCACAACACTGAGTAATGGAAAAAAGAAGACCAGCAACACTTGACGATTTTCCGATGCTTGTCTTATAATGCATTAAGTAGTTATTAAACAATTTTTTTGAACAAAATTCCGGGTGAAGCTCGCTTCCTGATCATCACTTACCATCAGGTGAGATATAGGCCAAGAGCTTGCTCGTTGTGGATAAAAAAAACAACTAAAGGACAAATAAATGATATACGAACATCAGGCCAGCACGGAATATGTAGGCCAAATCTTCCATTTGAGTCAAGTAAATTGGAGAGGGTCGCGTTCTTGCAGTGGAGACCAAAATAATGACCTGTAGGCCTAGGTTGCGTGCCGCGATAAGCGTTTATCACGCTATTATATCGATTTAATCTATAAGCCCATTTTGACGTCTAAAATCGTCGATAAGATATTATTACGGCACGCATCCTAGCCCTCTTGAACATGATGATAACGCTTTTAACCCACTTGTTACGGAATTCACTTTTTCTATCACTTACCTTAAATCAGTCATGATAAATTTATCTCAAAACAATCGCTCCAAAACTTTATAGTTCTTTACGTCAGTGTACTTATAAGACTTGGACAGTACTGCGACACATCTCATCTTTCAAATGTTGCACATAAAAATTGTTTACACTACCCACATTAGTAAAAATATTTTCGTAAAAACTAGCGTTCTTTTAAAAGAACGCTAGTAACAAGTGGGTTGATGTATTTAAAGATGTAGAGTTAGTTAATAGTTTAATTCCCTAACCTTCTCAACACCAGGGCGATTATGGCCCCAGCCGCCGTCAGCATGGCGGCGACGCCAGCCAACGCTGCCGCTGCGGGGAACTTGCTGCCAGCGAGCGTGGTGCTTTCTGTTCACAAATGTTATAGAGATTTCAGTTGACAGTTGACTGATGAATCCATGATGTCCAGTCTATGAATACCCTAACTACTGCTGGCTATAACTTTGAATAAGTAATCTGCTTTCAGTTTTAATCATGTTCATAAAAAAACATGCTTAGGATGGATTCGATCAAACAAGAGTAAATATTAATCTCCGAATAAATCGTCAGTTTTGACATAATATTTCCCATACAGAAACTGTTAATGTCACAGTTATACCAGGAGTTATTCTCGGATAAAAGTTTGGTCGAATCCGGCCTTAGCAAGATAGGTTGTTTATGAAGAAAAATAAGGAAGGAAAAGAAAACAAATAGTAAAAAACTGAAGTTACTATAATAGTATGAAGTACGCGCACTATAATAGTAGAAGCAAAAGAGGAAGGCAGAAAAAGCCATGTTCCATTTAGCAACGTAGTAATTGTAGAAAACGAAAAGTATTTTGATGCTCAAATGGAGAGCTAGTATGATTTATTATTGTGCTAGTCATAAGTCTAAATATTAATAAATGCAGAGTAAGTATGATTTATTATTGTGCTAGTCATAAATCTAAATAATAATGAGTTTATGAGCATTATAAAAATCTTACCAGTCCTCTTAGCAGCGTCCCTGAAGACCAGATCCCTCAGCAGCACCGGCTCCGACGAGCCCTTAGTGTTGCGAGCCGTGACGGCCAGCACCTCGTCTTCGGCCATTGCTTCTAAGACTGACCAGCTCACGTTCAGCCATACTACTAGGTCTGGTGGGAGAAAGGTTTGTAGAAAAATATTAAAATTTATGGCAAAGTCCGATGTAAGTTTCTATTCTGACATAAGGATATACCTACCAAATAATCGTCCCTCTAGTGACATCCAAGAGGAGTGGCAAGGTAGGATATATTCGATGGTTAACATCATCGCTAAAATCTGGGAATATCGAAATTTTTTTGGGGACTAAAAAGCAGCTTGAACACAGTTTAAAGTGCGTCCATGAAGTCCAAAACTTGTCTAGCTTTTCTAACTTATCTTTTAATAGATGAATTTTGATCTAAACCCATAGGTAGATCCACCACACAATCTATGATCGTGGGTAAATCTGGTTTAAGTGCTGTTCTGTAATCGATCCCTAGTCTTTTAAGAATCTGCATTAATTAAACTTGCATAGATCGTTTCATCCACGAAGACGCACCCCATCAATTTTTGGTCGAGGGAAGCGCGGGGTGAGGTGACTGGGGAGTTTGATCCGAGCAATCCGAGCGTCATTATTGTAGTGTGCGTGTGTACTTATGGATAATTATTTAGCGTGTACCGATAACACTCAAACATTAGCAGAAGAATGGTGGGGCGCGTCTTCGTGGATGAAACGATCTATAAGTACCTGTAAACTGAGCCGAGTTGTTGACCAGTACTCTCCCGGTCTCTCCCAACGCGTCCAGAGTGAAGTGCTGGTTTAGGCCTCCATCGTAGCCCGCTATGCAGCGCACAGAGAGGTACGCTTCGTTGTTCTTTAGGAGTCTGCTGGCGGTGCAGTTGCGAGGAGGTGAGGGCCGCGCTGGGGACAATAAGTTGGCTTAGTAAGGATTTGGGTGAAGAAGACGAGGGGAAGAATCGATATTATATTTCAAACAGGTTTTAGATTATAGGTAATCTTTTGGTTAAATAAGTTGCAGGTTTCAAAACACTAACCAAAGCCATACACCAAAGTTTGGGACTACTCCACCTTCACTGGTTGGGCTTTATTAGCCAAACTTGGAGATCCTGGCTTGATACGAGTTCAGCGGTGGGAAAGAGAGTTAATCAAAATTCTTATTTGGGCCACATGAGAGTTGTTTCCAGAAACTGGCTGGAGCTGGAGACTTGCAGTTGAAATTATTTGTCAATACGTCAATAGAGTTTTATATGTTGGGTTTTAAGAAGTAAGACTCGTAAATAAAATAATAATAAAAACCTCTTTGCATACATTTAAAAATCCTCACAGCATTAGTTTTATTCTTATTTGCATACACGTATTGATCGAATTCACGTATCAAAGCGTGCCTCTCTGAATCCTCATTGCTAAGCCAATATCGCCCAAATAAGCACTGCAACATCAAACCACTTGCATAACAGAAGGAGATAAGTATCGCACGAATAACGTGTTTACACCCGATGTGAGGGTAGAATCACATCATCTATGAGTGCTAAGATGAGCAAAGGCTATATTATTTGCTCGCATGGCAGCTGAAGCAACAAACAAAATGGATAACAGCGCACGACACAAATGCACAATACAGAATCATACATACTACCTATGCATGATTTAACAGTAGGGATAATACTGGGACGTGTAAAAGTGCTTTTTAAAAGTCTACTTGCAAAAATAAATGAGTTTTGGGAGCTTTTTTAACTGACTTCAGGGTTCATTATCATCATCATTTCAGCCATAGGACGTCCACTGCTGAACATAGGCCTCCCCCAATGACTTCCACATCGCACGGTTGGTAGCGGCCTGCATCCAGCGCCTTCCTGCTACCCTTATCAGGTCGTCGGTCCACCTTGTGGGTGGACGTCCCACGCTTCGTTCTCCGGGACTTCAGACGACTTCAGGGTTGACAAGTTGAAAATCTTATCGGGAAATACCAACTTAATTTTGCGGTACCTTACTTCTTTAGTGGGTCATAGATTTCCCGAAACTAATGGTACAAACCATTGTTCCTTAATTCAAAGAAATCCTTTACTGCTCGTGTAGGTACTGACAACGGTATATCAGGTACCTAAATAGCACTACAATGTGTCTGTATGAAGTAAGTAATAGAGGTGATTTTGCAACAAACTTTACCATAAAGAGTCTCAGAGTCTCTATTATTATTTGTACTCTATGATTCCAATCCAGCTCAGGCATAGTTGATTAGGTATTGACAACAGCACTTCTAGATAATAACAGTATGAAGTAGCAGTCCGATTTTGTAACAAAATTGTGTGCGACTGTACATGCAAGAGCTGCAAAGAGAATTCAATTCAATTGCACAAAAAGGTCTGTAGGGTAAACCGTATAGCTATTGCCCAGTTAAAGATTTCAAACACATCGAGATGAAAAATTAAAGAAAGTATTTTAATTATCGACCATTTATGACTTTTTTCTTATAATTCAATAAACTGTTAAACAGAATATTAACAGTTTTTAGTTAAAACTTACGTAATTTAGAAAATATTGAAATAAATTTAAAATCCTCCAAAAAGTACAGTCATTGCCCATTACTTACACTAATTGCCCACATCAAAGCACAGTAATTGCCCGGTATCTTAAAACAAAATAATCAATTTTAAAATGACAAAATAGGCTTTAAATAAACAAAACAAAACATTAAACTTAAATTCTAGTAGTACAGTCTTCAAAATTTCAAAATAAATTGCGTTTGGCCTTATTAACATATTATCAAATATCTTGAGCTGATGTTGATGAGTCAGAATCGGTAGAGACAGAATCATTTGTACTTCAAAACATAGATGACGCAAAAATTTGAATTTTATTTATTTTTTTATCTTCTTTGATATCAGTTCAAGTGGTTGCTCAGAATGTTCAATTAGCTGTTGGTTATTCTTCCCTAAAGTTGTATCTATTTCCTTACAATTAAAATTTTCACTAGTAAATTTAACGTAGGATTTTCATTTTTTGTATTTGCGTTTGAATTTTTATCAATTTTTTCAAGCCAAACCATATTTTTCAGCAATTTATCTTGTAGATAAATTGTTGGATACATCTTGTACAGCTTCGATCGCTTTTTGGAAATTTTCTATGCTATATTGAACTTTTGGAGTCTTTGGCATACTGAAAATGAAACATTAAAAGCCATTTCAATATTTATGCCTGTAAATTGCAAAACAAGTCTAGCAATGAGCAACTTAAACACTGCTACTGCATGGTGGCAACATTCTAATAATAATTGCCCTGGGCAATAACTATACATTAACATATGGCAATAACTGAAATGATGGTGGGCAATAACTAAAAACATACAGATTTACGTGCAGTGATTACCCACCGTTAAAATGACCGTTAGAAATCAAATTTTATCAGTTATTTTCATTGATAATGGAGAAAACACTTATAATTTCATCATGACTATACACCATTAGTTGAATATTAAATAACTTGCAAAAAAAATTTAACCTCTAAGAAAGTAATTCCTTAGTAAAATTGTTAAAGTCTTTACCTGTTTGAGTAACATTTTCACCCGTCTTGACAAAATCCGCCATAACTGTTTTTTTTTAGTGTTTCCTATTGTAAAATTTAAATCTACTGTACATTGATCTCGGAGCCATCTACTTAGTAAATTCAAATCTAACTAGAGTGATTCAAAGTCAGCACCTGATAATATTATTCTTAAAGCGGGCAATCACTACCAGTGGGCAATCACTCTCTGGTTTACCCTACCTAGAAAGAAAAGAATAAATTACAGAGTGCCGTCACAGAGTCGATTCGCCTTGTCTATGTAAAAGTAGTAAAAACTAGAATACCGGGGACTGTTTCAGGCACAAAACAACACTGGCGATCACAATAGCGCGTCTGCGATGCGCGGGAATTTTCAAAATGGAACAAAGATTTTTTCGTTAGTCGCCATGCTATTTTGTCAAACGTTGCCCGGGGAACGGGAACTAAATTCGAGATCGGAAAATATGGGTTAAGGATGTGAGTGGGATTTGTAAAGATACTTGAAGGTTGTTTTTTGAGTCTTCTACCACAGGAACACGACCGTTTACGAATTTACTAGAGGCAAATGAATTTTGATCTACACTCCCCAAGCCTGGCTGACATATTGTATGTGTGAGAGAGAGGATTGACTAATAAATAATTTAAATAGATAGATAGATAAATGGTTTATTTGCAAAACACATTGACACACAAGAAGCAAAAAGTAAGATTAATAAACACAGGAGTAGCAGGAAAGATATAGTACATTACAAAGAGTAAGAAAGAAAATCCTGCGCCCTAAGGTATAAGTGTGCCGCAGCGATGCAAAAAAGCAGAGAGCTCAGTGTAGACACTGCTCTAAAATGAACAGAACACTGATTTTCAGCTCTTGCTTGAAAAAAAACAAGGAAGACGCACGAAAATGGTAGAGAATAAGGTGGTGAAAATGTTGTACTATTGTAAACCTACATAAATATCAGAAATTAGGGAAATATAATAATTATAACTGTTGTTCTTATATGGTTTATACATACATATACTATCTGTCTATGAAAAGGAGTATGAGAATGTTAAATGGAGAATTTAGTTACTTTATATCTACAATAATTTTACATGGCTGAAATGATGATGACGATGAATATAATATTTTTACATAAATAATAACAAATACAAAATAATATACCCACATTTATGTTTATGAATATATGAATTTAATTAAAAAGCATTATGAACATTCTAAGGAATAAGTATGTGAACATCAGGCCTTCTTCAATCTATCTGGGTAGCAAATTAAAGTAGTGTAGGCGTAATCCTCCATTAGCCTCTGATAAATTAAATTTCTTCTGGTGAAAACTAAGTAAGTGATTTTCTGAGTGATGTATGAATTTCTGCCGCCACTTCTTCTCTGCACCATCTCATATGATGTCCCGAAGTGGTGGTAGGGCAAGCTATATTTGGGACGTGTATAAGCGCCCTGGAAAGGGCCTAAGCACTGAATAAATGATTTGATTTGATTTGATTTGAATGACCTGATCATGATGATGGATCTAATTCATTATAATAACCACCCACGGTCATGATAAATAA